CGGTCCAGAGGAACACAACTTATGACGTCACTACCGGATTGGTAGTGCCACTGGTACTGTTTCAGAATTGGCTTGAGCAGATGATGTTTTATGTTAGAATGAGCAAATTCGAAACGCAACATATACTAAACGAATAGACTTTCTGCGACTTGGTCATTTATTTAATGAACTTTGGGAATTAAAACACCGAATTCACCTCAGATTACACAACCTTTATTTCCATAATGGTTACTCTTTAATGATAAAGGGATTAGGGATTTACAGACATTATATCTCATCCATTTGCTCAGTTAACATTGCTTAGTTCATGAGATCCGTATTCAAGACAGTATATTCTAATTGATCATAGATACTTATAAATCATAGTCAAGATACACAACTTCTTTGTTTATTTATTTATTCTATTTAGTTTATGAGGTGAAATCATAGCGGAAGAAGGATTTCGAAGCCATTCAATTCGGACTTGAAAATCCTGGTCGCCTCAGCTACCTTCTTTGACTTATTGTCCGTTATTTGATATACTTTTAAAACAGAAACAGTTTATTCAGCTTTGTGTATGAATATTACATCAAGGAACATACAATATGATTCAATATTAATGAAGATATAAATCCCAAACTGAGATGGACGCTCTGATTAGCCGGACAGAATATCACATACTGCCAGGTATAAGGGAAAAAAAACAACATTATTGTACAAAAATGTCTGAGGATGAAACAATGTTTGGTTCGATGTAATAAAAAAAAATAAATAAATAAAAACTTCTAACAAAATCAGTGGACGGTATGGATTGTTTTTTTTTTTTCGAATTCAGCATATGTAATATATATTGTTCATTGTGCCATATATACATACATACATACATACATATATATATACATACATACATACATACATACATACATACATATATATATATATATATATATATATATATATATATATATATATTCAAGATGTAAATTCTTTTCTTGTGTCACGCTAATGTATGTATGTATGTATAGATATAGATAGGTCTTTACCAAGGAAACCACCAGAATAAGAAGTCAAGCCAGAGCGGGCGGGAAAGAGAAAACCTTTCAGCTCGTGTTTGGTTAGAATTTATGGCAATAGCGGGATGGCTGTGCCTCTGCTGTGTGTTGTCTGATATATTTACTATTTTCGAAAGATTTTTGCGAAATAAATGTATGATGTGATGTTATTTTTATATTGCCCATTTAATCAGCCTTTTTCTTCTTCTTTATTGTTATTTCTATTGTACCTATAGGATCATTTTCACTGCTTTCACATACGAAAGATCCAAATGGGAACACATCGCTACAACTGACAACTTAATGAACTGTATGATTAGTTACTATTGTTGCCATAATAATAGCAATAAACCATAAAACACTTGATCGCCCACTGCACTTGCGATAACGGAATTGATGACACGCAACATCTGCAATCCAACAATCACAACTAACTTCTCCATTAGCCTCGTTTTGTTGTCTCCCCTTTCCTTTCTCTTTATTTTGGGCGACGTGAACATACACCTGTGACAGAATGGAAGCGTAGGTGGCCTTCTCCTTGGAGGAGACAAACACGACACAAACGTGTGTATTTATGAAACACGTATCAATGTGTGTGTGTGCGCATGTGTGCAGGTCTAGGAGTTACATATCATGGCTAAATACATAAAAAGCGCCCTGAATACGTGGCAACACGTGCGATACACATACGAAAGGGTCCAAACTTTTTTTCCATCCAGGAGCCAAGAGGTCGATGTGTGTATATGTCGTCTGGAATATGTTCTATTGTTGTATAACGAAAGAAAATGAATTGTTTAGCTAGGCTGATTCCACAAACATATTGAAGGATACCATTTCCATTTGTGTTTAGAAATTTATTTAGGAGGCAGTGTAACCACGCTGGTTAGAGTGTCACTGATAGGGTGAGTTACTCTGCTTGCCATTTACCGGGACGTTTCCGATTAACAATGCATAAAGATTTTTTTTTTTTTTTTTAGTCCTTCATACTTTTTATGACTTGGTTCAGCATTTTAAACCCTAAAGAGCTGGTGCTCGACGATCAAGCGAATGGTATGTATATCAAAGGCAAGTTTTTCTGTCAGACTTTTTAATATTATCTTATACATCGTTTCATCAATACGATTATTAATAAAATATAACATGCATCTCAACCCGGTTTCTCTCCTCACTTCCAGACACTCTGCTAGAAATAGAAAATTACTTTCAGTACGCAGTATTTTCATAAGTGAACCTGAAAAGACAAAATATATTTTTATGTTAGAGTAGACGCTAGACAAACACAACAGAAAGCAGGTTTCTACAGAAATAAAAGAGAGAAGCACAGGAAGCAGAGAGGACTAGAAAATAGGTTTAAAAACAACCATTGCATGCTATAGAAAAAGAAAGAAGCAAAACGAAGAAAAAAAGATGCACAAGAGAACAAAATGGAAGGAAAAGCCAAGAAATCGAACGAATCGCAATGGCCACATTTGGGTAAAAAGGCAGTTGATAACAACGGAAATGCCTTTGGAAAGTGCAGTTGCGGTTAATCGCGGCATTAACGGTTCGCGGCCAGACGGGGACCGTTGAGAGTCGCCGACGCGCCGGAGCCAGCGACTTCAGGCTGCTGGTATACACTTCAGTGAAATATGAATGAGGAAATATTAATGATATATCTTTCAATTTAGTATGTCCTTGTAAGAAATAATGTTTGTATGGATTTAATGACGAACTGAGCTTATCCCTTATGCTTTCTATATGAACACTAACGCGCTCAATTTCAGACTACGTACTGGCTTTCTTTGCACAAATTGACTCTCAAGTATTTTTTTTTCTGCTTATTTTTTACTTTACGTCATAGCAAAGTTGATCCACATTTCTGAAAGGCCATCTAGGCACGGCAAAGCTCGCTAAAATTGAGCATTTCCTGAAGAATATCACTTACCTGATGGAATGCAGCAGCCGCACTTGTTCTTTTTGCCTCCCTTCAGTTTCTTGTTGGCCTTGCAGTAGGGTTTCCCGGTCTCCAGCGTGCCGTCGCAAGGCAGGGATATGGGCTGGCAGAAACCGCCCTTGAGGTTGCACAAGCCCTTGTTTTCGCATGCTGAATTAGAGAGGGCGGCATTAGTGTTAGCAAGGCGTCGCTCGTTGTTTTAACCCCCCTCCCGCCCAACTTCTATATGTGTGTATATATAGATATAAATATATATACAGTACATTATATTCATTCCATTCCGTATCCATCATATTATCTCCTATTGCGCTAAATCATCAACCAACAAAACAGAGTCATGTGAACGCCAATATCATAACCGGAACACCAGGAGAACGATAAAAGACTCACTTCTGGCACAGCAAACGCACTTCCTCTTGCCCGTACAGAAGGTTTTCCTGCCTTTGTTCCTGTACTTCACTTCCCCAGGGAGACAGCTCTTCCTCCTGCATTCACCGTTGAGCTTGCTGCATTTGCGGGTGGGGTTGCAGTCTGGAAGGAGGTGGGGAGAGGTAGAGCCTTAGCCAGCTTTCTCACTGGAGCTATTTCGTGCTTGTATACGTGTGTGTGTGTGCAGGGACGTCATATAACATGTTTGGGGAGAGGAGATTCAGGACGTGAAAAGAAAATGCTAATCATATAAAAGATATTCACCATTGTGTTGCCTTGTATTTTGTTTAAAAAGGGTATACATGGAGTTATGAAGTTATTATCAATAATAGTTTCATATTCAGATAATAGCATTCCTTGCGTATTTTTCCGAAAATTCATTTAATTTTTTGAAAAAATAATTTTTCTAACTCGAGTCTATTTTTCATATCTGTTTTACCTACGAAAACATACAGTTCTCAGCTGCTTTAACCAGAGAAAAAGGTTTTCAGGATTCGGCGACAGAATTCCCACCTTAAACATACATAAGACGTCCCTGTATATATACTTTTTTTCGGGAACCATTGCGATAGGTACATAGCTGTGTAAAGCCTTACCTTCGTGAATGAAGTCATCATCATGATACAAGGATGAATGTGTGGAATTATCGCGAAATATCTAATATGCCAGCCTGTGCATGATATTAAATACATTCGTGAAGAACCAGATATAAAAATATGAAAAAGCATTCCTTGCAAGGTTAAGTTGGATATTGATAATGAAACTGATATTAACTTTACAACTCCACAGTGTTACTTCATTTGTGAAATCAGCTTTCTTGACGAAATTACCAATATCTTATTTATGGATTTCTCGCCAAGAAAGTTATAAAAAACAATGGAAAGCCCAAGAATAACTTGTGCCAAGTCGTTAGTTAGTATCATAGATTTCATAGACACGTGTGAGATTTATAATTCCAGCGGCAGAAGAAAAAAAGAATGCACAGAATACTCACTCCTTTTGATGTCCACATTTCCCCCTGCAAAACGGAATTAGGAATAGGATTAGTACACTGTAATTAGATGAAATTGTTCCATATAAACAGAAAATTCAATGTAACAATCATTAGGCAGCGGAGACATATGCGCCTTTGCGCCGCTGCCGCACACCAAAATTGCGTGTGTTAAGTAATAGTTCTGTCTATTTTCTAATATCTTTGATATCCATTCCCTTCCCAGTGTTCCTGCCTATTTTGAGTTTGTGTGTTGTGCTTAAGAGCCTGTACCGGTGTGTGTGTGTGTTCTATATCTGCTTGCGACGAGCCCCATCCCGGAGCGAAGCCTTACCGGTCACGCAGCAGACCTCTGAGTCGGCGCAGTCGCCCCTCGCCAACTTCCCTTCACACGAGCCGGCGGGCACGCACTCGCCCCTGCACTGAGGCGGAAAGGAGAGAGTCAGTGGAGGCGGACGTCAGCACGGGTGAGTCAAAATAAGGGAGAGTCAGCGCGGGTTAGAGTAAAAACAAGGGAGTCAGAATGGGGGAGCAAGGGTGTATGTGTGTATTTATATATGTTTATGCATACACACAGATATATATGTATATATCTATACCTTTATATATTCATATATATTTTATGTACTGATATGTAATGTATAAAAATATATGCATATATCCATACATATATATATGTGTGTGTACATACACACATACATATATATTATATATATGTATATGTATATATATCCTGTATGTATATATATACATATATATATACATATTAATGTATGTATGTATATATGTATATATACATTCATGTAAATACAGGGAAAGGTAACGTTCTTTTTAAAGTTGATGAATGAGGCTGATTTATTACGCAAAGCATGCGACCTTTGGTTAATAGTAAACATAAATAACACTATAAGATGTATATGTAAACAGAAAAAACAGTGAACAAAGGAGAATTGCTATATATAGAAAAGGAAAAAGAGAAAAAAAAAATGTCCGTTCTCTTTGCCCTTACTTTTTTCGCCTCAGCGGCCGCCACAAGAGCCGCGAGAGCGAAAACCAGCAGCAGAGAAGCCCTCATGATGCTTCCTCAGGAGCTCCACGTCCGATGAGAGAGAGAAAGGCAGCAAAGACGACCGACGCTCGAAGTGCAACGCGGGGAGTTCCCGTAGAGTGCAGGGGAGGCGGAGAAGTGGTGGCTTGTTGTCGGAGCGGAGGCTCTCGGAACACTGGTGGCAGGTCGGGTTGGCCGAATATTTAACTACCCCTTTGGCGCCTCCTTCTGAACCCCTCTCCCACTATCCCCCCACCCCCCTTTCGCCCCCGCATAACCTCGTCACACACCTGGATTACTCCCGAAGGTCGGCCTTCCGCGCCGAGGTCCCGCCCCTTCCCGACCTAGTGGGGGTTTGTTCTCCATTGGCCCTTTTCTCGTTAACCCCCCCCCCCCTCCCTCCGCCGTCTGCTTTTCCTTATCAATCATCTCCGCGTTCCACTTATCTGAAACACATATATATTTGTGGGTGCGTGTGTGTGTGTGTGTGTGTGAGGCCCCAGATCTCCCGTCTCTGCCTTTCCTCCCCCTTGTTCCCCTTCCCATTCCTTACCTCCTTTTTCTTCTCTTCCCTTCTTCTTTTCCCTCTCCTAGCTTCTGTGTCTCTTCCTTTCCCTCTCCTAGCTCCTGTGTCTCGTCTTTTCCCTCTCCTAGTTTCTGTGTCTCTTCCTTTCCCTCTCCAAGCTTCTGTGTCTCTTCCATTCCCTCTCCTCCCTAGCATTTTGCGTCATGTTTTGTCTTAAAATGCCTAAACCTTAAGCCTCTATGCCTATCAAGTGATGTTTTATTCGTTGATTTAATTCTTTACCCTTCTATTCCTTTTCCTTTGTCCTAAGCCTTACTCCTCTTCCTTTTATCTTAGCCTAGCCCTTCCTTAACCGATATCCTTTCCTAGGCTGGTTTATTAGTTGTACTGTATTTGTTGAGGAATTGTCATTTGTCATAATATGCAATACATTTCATAAAATATCATTCCTTTAAAGAATGTTTTAACAGTGACCTTATATTAAAACTTAGGCCATTTCTGGCAAGTTGGGAAATCTAAGCTGGCTTGGGTCCGTTTACTCCATTCACAGGTGTGTCCTCTTAAACAGCAAGACCATATATATATATATATATATATATATATATATATATATATATATATATATATAATATATATCTTCTTCTTCTTCTTCTTCTTCTTCTTCTTCTCTTCTTTCTTCTTCTTCTTCTTCTTCTTTCTTCTTCTTCTTCTTCTTCTTCTTCACAGAATCACGCGTCTCAGTACCGTGGGGGTGAGACAGTTAAGTACCATTCATTCTCACATAATACACATCTCACCCCAACGGTCCAGACGAATACTCACTAGTCGCCTCAGTTCACACCATTATTGAATTTAAATTTTACCCATATAGTGAACAGAAGTTTATTAATGAAAGATATTAATGAAAACATAAATCCCTTACTGAGATGGACATAAGATATTCTGTTTAGCCGGTCAGAGTACGATTATAAACCAGTTTCAATGCAAAAGCAAAAAATGTTTCAATAGTTTCCATTGATGTGTGCGCAGAGGGCAACTCACTGATTGGGGATAATTCTAGTGAAAGGGAGTGAGTTGTCATGAAGATGAATATTTAGATTATTTTTTTAAGGATATGTGGCATGTCTTAAATATTCGGCATCAGCTCTGTCTTGTGTCACTAATGCATAATAGTGTCATCAAGTCATGATGTTAACAAATAAAATTTGTTATTAATAATTCTTGGTTGTGCATGGTATATATATATATATATATATATATATATATATATATATATATATATATATATATATATATATATATATAGTACACACACGCACACATATACATATACTCATATATATACATACATACATATATGTGTGTTTCGAAACTTGCTTTAAACTCACCTTACACCCATGACTGAAGGGAAGCGTAAGGGGATCGTCTGGTCATTTTTCGCCCATCTTTCCGAAATCGAGTTTAATGCATTTTCAAGAAGTTTCTGGGCCTCCAATTGTCCCCTGAAAATTTCAAGGCGTGACCGTTATTTTTAGGTGGTAGCAGCCCTTTTCGATGTCGACTGAAATATTATTTTTTTCACATTACTTTAGAAAATCGACAATTGTGACGCAATGATTAGAGATAATAAGAATTGAGATTTTCTGGAAGCTTATTAAATTTCACGTAAGATGAGACCATCCTTCATTTTTTTTCGGAATAATTTTAAAAATCTGGCAAGCGTCCAAAAATAACAAAGAAATTTTTCATACAAATAAATAAACATGATATGCCGTTCATATGGAGTATTCTTTTCTTTGTGTTTTCACCATACATAGTTTGATCTATGAGCAAAATATTTCGAAAATGCAATCCTCCCCCCCAAATGATCCGGATCACCAAAATTTTATGGAATATTAGTTAGGCTAAGACACACCTCAGGTGAAAAAAAAAGTCTGTCCATAACTTTTTGTTAGGAAAAAAAAAAAATCCTGGACCCAAACCATGGTCGACGTCACCACCAAATTGCAATTGGCGTCTTAGGTCAAAACACACCTCTGGTTAAAATCTTATTGAAATGTGTTCATAACTTTTAGAAATAGAAAACAAACAAAAAAACAACAAACAAACAAGCACACAAAGTAACAATATAAATAAACTAATCATGGGATACACGAAAATTATCTATATACCTTATATACATATTTTTACACCGCCCTGTACTTGTATATCGCTTTTCACGGTTCTTTAGTTTAGTTTAGTCCTTTATTTACCACCCTGGCTAAGTGCATAGGCATGGGCAAGCTGTGGTACATTTGATGCATGGTCAAAGCATTATATAATAGTATTAAAGTGTAAATCTAGATGATAACATTATTACGATCCATAATATATCATTCAAAAAAAGGACAATCACAGTAACTTATCTACTCATCTACCAAGCCGGCGTACGGCTTGGGCGTGGAAAGGCAATGTAACATTTGATATGTGGTCATGTGATACTACATTCCAAATTTAGGATACAATATAAGTATATCTTCCAAGACATCAGATGATATGAAGTAGTTACATAGTTCTCCATACCTCGTGCTAGGTGGTCTGAAAGGCTGTATTACATGGCACTCTGATATATGATGTACAAGTGTTCGCTTATATTCTTCATTGCATAATTTACACTTAGTTTCTTCAACATTACGGGCTGTACTGACTTGCCAGTACAATCTATATCCCAGCCTGATTCTTGCGGTCACAATATCACAGTCTTGCTCTTATTTTGTATAAACTATAGATGAATACATCTTGCATAAACCGGTCATAGAGCTTTATGCTACAGCTTTCAGGCCGTTGAGAATTAATCATGTCAGTCAAGTCCTCTTTGAAAGAAGTTTTAATTATGTGTGAAATCCTAGCAAGAGGTATTCCAAGATCTATATCCACACTTTGCTTGTCACATGTTGATTTTGCTAGGCGGTCAGCATGATCATGCCTGGGGATTCCAACATGCGATGATATCCACAAAACGTATATCATGGCCTCGTTCTTTTGCACGATATACATTTATCCTTATGTCATTTGCAATATTTCCTGCACCTTTGTCTAGTGCGTTCAAAGCCTGGAGGGCACTGTGAGTCGCAGAAAATTACCCCTGAGCCTTGATTTAATAGAAATTCGGTGGCTATGAGCATTCCTGCCTGAAAAATGGCTGTGTGCCCCCGTAGAGTTTAACACCGGATCCGCGGGTACCAAGAGACGTCCGATGTCCGCCACACTTGCTGAGAACGGAACGTGTTTGATACCTGTCCGACTGGAGAACGATAATTTATTCGACCAGTATTATTCATTTTAAAACCCCATTAGAGCAACAATAATAGGTAAATAAAAGATAATTATACCATATACAATTATTTCGTACATAATTTCATATATAAAATGTTAAAAAAAGTGAAAGGGAAAAAGATCGCGATGTTTGGTTCCTTCACATTTTTACGCATAGGACACGCATTTTTAGTCCGATTTTAACGTATCATGGCTCATTTTGTAGCTGAATAGCATATCTATTACATGCTGCAATAAGGATTTGCAAGATTTTCATGCGCGTCCTATAAAAGTGACATATATTTTCAGTATCCCTTTTTAGGGTAGTGAAATCGTCGCCTTCGTAATTTATTACAAAATTATAATAATAATAAGGTCGACTTCTAAAATTTGGCTTCCGTATATTGTAGTAGAAAGATTGTTATATTCAGATATGGAATCAGAATGGCTGTATTTTTTTTTCTTTTAGATAAAATTTAAAAAATGGTCAGTGTACGCCTACAGACACTGAAAATTACTGACACCCTGCTACACTATACGCAAGATTTTGAGAAACCGTAACGTGCTGGAAATGTCCAGAATACTTTGGAATGCAGGTAGATGATAGACAATTATGGTTTAGAAAGATTATGCTTCTCCTTTCATTTTTTCATACTATAAGGATTATGAAAAGAGAAAAAAAAATTAACGTCCGTTATTTCGGAAGTATATATATATTTTTTAAAGAAGCATACAGGACGCACATTTAGTCTAAAATAAACGTATCATTTTTTTTATCATTATTATTGTAGAAAAATTGTGTCTAGGGAATGTAGGAAACGGAATTTTCGATTTTTTTTTTCTGTGCTTCTTGTAAAAATTATATATATATATATATATATATATATATATATATATATATATATAATATATATATATATATATATATATATATATATACGTCTTTTTCAGACACCTGCCAGTCTACTCGGTAAAATATTTCTAAAAAAAAAAAAAAAAAAAAAAAAATATATTATATATATATATATATATATATATATATATATATATATATATATATATATATATATATATATATATATATATATACGTCTTTTTCAGATACCTGCCAGTCTACTCGGTAAAATATTTCTAAAATGTAGGAAACGGAATTTTCGATTTTTTTTTCTGTGCTTCTTGTAAAATTAATATATATATATACATATATATATATATATATATATATATATATATATATATATTCCCTAGGTAAAGGATGATTCTGTATAATAAAACAATCAGAATGACTAGAATTTTATAGTGATTTTATTTTTTGAAAAATAGTAAATTTTCAATTTGTTTTTTCTTCAGTGAT